CCTCAGCCTCCTGAGTAACTGGGACTACAGGCATGTGCCACCAAACCTGGCTAATTTTTTTTTTTTGGTACGTTTTTTAGAGGCAGGGTCTTGCCATGTTGCTCAGGCTGGTTTTGAACTCATGGGCTCAAGTCATCCACCCGCCTTAGTATCCTGAAGTGGTAGGATTACAGGCATGAGCCACCACACCCAGTCCCAGTGTCTCTCTTAAAGAAGAGAGAAAAAAATGCGTCTTCCAGATGTACCACAACCCTTTTATTTAGGAAAAGTCTTAAATTCTTGACTGTCAGACCTCCCCAAAGGATCACGAGCTTGAAAGAACACATTTTTAAAGATACTAATTCATGCCTTGAGCTTTTCTCCACAGCGTGAGTCTATGACAGGTAACATTTTGCTCCAAGTCAAAGCTACATCAACCGAAATGAAAATTTGTTCGAGCACATCTCAGGCCCAAATGATGTCTCAGGCCCCAAACACGAGTTTCAAATGGCACCAGGGTAAATACTGAATGTTTTCATAGTCTTTGTCCAAAATAAACATTTGAAAAATCCCAGAGGTTTTAGTTTCCTGAAGTAAAGAAAAATCATATTTCCAGCTGTCATTGGAAAATATCATGAAAAAATCCCACGTTTTTATCTTCCCAAATATTTTTACAATTACTAAATACTTAAAGGACTATTTCCATTTGTTTTTATGTTGGTGAGCTGTTCATACGGAAGGCACTTACATCAGGAGTCCTGAGGTATTGAAACAGGTCACATAAAACTACAGGAGAGGCTTCCTCCTTTACCCTCCTTTTTGAGTGAAGTAAGAGTCTGATATAATTGTCCACGTGCTCAGTAAATGTGCCAAAGTGCAATCTTTTGTTTTTACTATTAAGAATGTTTTATAAACACATGGTGATCAGCATACTCTGACTTTCAGAAATATTAACTGCAAAATTGGCAGCAAGCTTCAACATTTGCGAAAATCCATATGTTCATTAAATTATTTGTGGGCTTTTTTTGTGGGCTTTTTTTTTTTTTTTTTTTTTGCTGTTGTTACTGCTTGCACTTTTTGAAGGCAGTTTCTGTATCTTTTCTTCTCAAGGCCTTTGGGGTCCTTTCGAATTTTAATTGAAATATGGTAATCCATCTTCTTTGCTAAAATTCATTTTTGTAAGTCAAGATTTTAGAACTTTCCCTGAGGTTTGTAAGAGCTGTAGGAGGTTTAAAACTTTTTTCATTGTTCAGTAGTTTTGCTCAATTTGTAAAACACACAAGAACTGTGATACATTATTGTCCTTTAATGACTAGAATATGTCGATTTTAGTAGATATAACAGATAATCTTTCAGGATTTGGCATGATGAAGTCATAGGACTGGAAGAGACCTGGTAAGATTATCTAGTCCCAATATTTGTCTTGAGATCCTTTAGGACCACCCCAGAGAAATAAAACGTTGTTCTATTTTTAAAGCTCTCCCCTAGAGATGTTTTTCTTCCTTGACAACAATTTATCATGTAGCAATCTTTATTTCCCTTTTATAGATATATATCTTTCCTTATTGCCGTATTTTTTTTCTCAGATTTCTTCACATTCATTAGACAATTTCAAAACCACCACTGCAGATCATTTGGTGCTACCATTTCTATTTTATGGACAAGGACATTGAGCCATAGGAGTTAAGTGGCTGGCCCCAAGCCTCATTAGAGATGTGAGTCACATTTGGGAGTGAGAACAGAGCCACAGCCTTCATTCCTGAGCTGTTTCCTCAACGCTACATTTTTCTTTAACAAATCAAAAAGCAAAAGCAAAAAGAATCACATCTGAGAGACCAAACAGTGGTAATCAGATGTGCACAAGCCAATGGCTACTGTGGAAAGAGTTCAACCACCTACAGAGCAATGTCCATCTGTGCTTGTGCAGATACTGAGCTTTCTCTTGGCTCATTTCCTAATCTCATCACAAGGAGATAGAAAGGCAATTGTCAAGAAAAAGGACATGCCTTGCATTGCTGTAACTCCAAACATGAGCAAGTGGATTGAGCTACTACCAAAAAGCAAATTCCTTAGTTGATTTGCACCAAGCAGTTCACATGAAACTGGCTGGCTCTATCACTATTGTTCTCATATCGGTACCACTGGACAGCTTTAATTAATATCAGAAACAGTGCAGGAAACATCCTTTAATTATTCCTGTTATGTTTAGAGAAACTGTAGCTTACTAAAAACAAAGTAAACTATAAGCCTTTGAACTCGAGTGTTATCTTTGTCCTTTGGCTTGTGAGGGTTTTGTGTTATCGGACATGATAATTTGTTTTCAGTGATAGCCTTGATGAAATTAATTGAGTTTTAGACTAGCATACATTTCCTTTTGCTGATACTTTCACTCTTGGCAAGGTCTTATCTGAGCAGTTAGTCCTGTTCTCGTCTGGTTCTGTCTGCTGAGATTCAATAGCTGCAGGACTGTTGTTGTTTTAAACAAAGATGTTTACTTTTGTTATTAATGTAATATTCAATTCACTTCCCCTTTTTATCTTCCCATAACGTAGAGACCGACTCCCTTTTTTTGATAGAGATGACAATTTTGGACTTCACTGCTAAGTTTCCTTGGAAACACCCCATAAGACCTTTCCAAATATATCATCATCATAAGGGGGAAAGCCATTTCAGACACTCCTATCTGTACACTTGGCTTGAAGTCAATTGTTACCTAACTGCTAGGTCCTAAACATTTCCTTTTATTTTTTTTTTACAGCTGTATTCTTTTTTTCAAACATTAAAGTGGTATAATGCTTAGGGGGAAAAAATATAAAACTTAAAATGAGATCTCCTCATCCACATGTTGACATCACCTAGTTTTAGATCATGCTGTGCATTGAATATCATTTTTGAAATTTTTTGCTCATATATTACTATATATAAGATAGATTTTATATTAAAGAAATAATAATATATTTAGTATTCTGCAATTAGCTTTTATGTGTCTTAATTTGTCTTAGATCTCTTCCTAAACAGGTTTTAAAATTTTAATTAGTGCCTTATTGACAGAGATTAAGTTCTTCCCAGTGTTTTTGCTATTATAGAACAATATGAATTTATTTGAGCATGAGAAGTGAAGTGTTAATCTGTCTTTAATATTTCAAAATAGTATTTTTGTTGAGTAATCCATTTTTTTATCATTTCAATAGGATTCTTTATGATTTAAGAAATGATACGTATGTCTCCTTAGAAACTATTGTTTGAATCACCAACCACTGTTTACTGTTAATCTGGGTGTCCCTCAAGCTATGCATGAACTACTCCTTAACATTTATTCAGTTAGACAACCAATGTTTACATTCTTCCTACCTACCGAACACTGTTGGTTTCTGGGTGTACAATGGAGAGAGATGTAGCCATGGCTCCCACTTTTGTGGTAATGAGCCAGCCTGCATTGAGTAAAGTATAAAGAAATTACAAAAATAGCAATATCTCCATTCTCTTCTTCTTTTCATTGGTATAGTTGGGACTACTTTGGGACTCTACTCTGTCAGACATCTGTCTTTCAGGTGTCAATAACACAGTATTTCAGTTACTTTCACTTTTTATTATGTTTCATGTATGATGGAGCTAAAGATTCTTCCTGCGTTGTTCTTTTTCCTCTTCAGAAAGGTCTTGACTATTTTTACACATTTATACATCCAACAAAGGACTAATATCCAGAATCTACAAGGAACTCAAACAAATTAGCCAAAAAAAGCAAATAATTTTATCAAAAAGTGGGCTTAGGACATGAATAGACAATTCCCAAAAGAAGATATACAAATGCCAACAAACATATGAAAAAAATGCTTGACATCACTAATGATCAGGGAAATGCAAATCAAAACCACAATGCAATACCACCTTACTGCTGCAAGAATGGTTATAATAAAAAATAATAGATGTTGGTGTGGATGCAGTGAAAAGTGAACACTTTTACACTGCCGGTAGGAATGTAAACTAGTACAACCACTATGAAAAACAGTGAGGTGATTCCTTAAAGAACTAAAAGTAGAACTACCATTTGATCTAGCAACCACACTACTGGGTATCTACCCAGAGGGAAAGAAGTCGTTATATGAAAAAGATACTTATACATGCTTGTTAATAGCAGCATAATTCACATTGTAAAAATATGGAACCAGCCCAAATGTCCCTCAATCAGTGAGTAGATAAAGAAACTGGCATATGTAAATATGAGGAATACTACTCAGCCATGAAAAGGAGCAAATTAATGGCATTTGCAGCAACCTTGATGGAACTGGAGAATATTATTCTAAGTGAAGTAACTCAGGAATGGAAAACCAAATATAAGTTCTCAATCATAAGTGGGAGTTAAGCTATGAGGATACAAAGGCATAAGAATGATACAATGGACTTTGGGGACTCGGGAAAGGGTTGGGGGTATAAACGACTACAAATTGGGTTCTCCTCAAGGGAGTGTATACTGCTCACTTGATAGGTGCACCAAAATCTCACAAATCACCACTGAAGAACTTACTCACGTAACAAAATACTACCTGTTCCCCCAAATTTAAAAAAAAATCACATATTTATAATTTCAAATAAATTTTAGTGGCATTTTGTTGAGTTTTGAACAAATGAAAACCTGCTTGAATTTTGTTTGGGACTACATTGAATGTATTCATTAAATTACAGAGAGTAGACTTTATATGTTTTAAAACATCATGTTAAGAAAGTGTTTCAGTTAGGGCCTTTTGGGTGCAAATTGATCTGAGCAAAAATAGAATGTGGCTCCTTAACTGAAAAAATCATAAGATTGGTGCAGTTTGATTTAGGGTCTCAAGTGACAACACCGAGATCCAGATGTTTTTCATAATTCAGGTTAAGATACCTCAATTGTGGCTTCAACCATTCATTCATACAGAAAATATTTACCAGGTACCTAATATGTGCCAGGAACGACTCTTTTAGTGCTAGAAATATGGTTGCCAAAAAGGCAACTAAAAGTACCTGGCTTCATGAGAATTACATTCTAATGGTTCTCTTTTAGGTGTAAGGCAAGAGCAACATGGCTACCTATACTGCTCAGCCTACAGCCTCCTAGGCTCAAGTCCTGTGGAAAACCAAAGATCCTATACCCTGAAGAGTTGGCACATCATCCTGGCTCTAAATTAGCTCGTGTAGTCAGAAGTTAGAAATACCATTATGCTTTTGGCATAATCACCTGCATGTGGGACTCGGAGTGTATCAACCCTTACCAAAATGTGTGGCCTGAAAGAGGATAGGTACAGTTCAAGGAAATTTGGATTGCTGTTGACAAAAGAGAGGGGAAAGAAAACTGCATCCCAAACCCTACAAATAGCTATTATATGAACTGTTTCTTCCATTTTTTTTAAATTCAGGAGTGAGTATTAAATTTCATTAAATGTCGTATAGGTTTCTGCCGAGAAATTACATCATCTTTCTCTTTTAACTACTTAGTATGGTGAATTATATTGAAAGATATTCCATTATTAAACTTTTCCTCCATTCTTGGAATAAACTTGCTTTGTCATGGTATAATTATATTTAAAATGCATTGCCAGATTTCACTTGCTACCATTTTGTTCAGGATTTTTGTTTTGATATTAATGAGATTTTTGTGAAGGAGGTTGACAAGGTGTTGGTTTTAACATTACATAGGCTTTATAAAAAGAATTTGTAAGTTTTTTTCCTTGACTACTATAGTTTGCTGTTCTTGCATTGCTATATATTAACAGCAACTGAGTAACTTATAAAGAAAGGTTTAATTGGGTCATGGTTCTGCAGGTTGTACAGGAAGCATGGTGTTGGCACCTGCCCTGCTTCTAGGGAGGCCTCAGGAAGCTTACAATCATGGTGGAAGGTAACAGGTGAGCAGGCATGTCACATGGCAAAAGCAGGAGTCAGTGAGACAGATAGTGGAAGGGAAGGTGCCAAACACCTAAATGACCAAATTTTGTGTGAACTCAGACTGAGAGCTCACTCATTACCAAAGGAATATCCCAAACCATCATGCGAGATCCACACTCGTGATCCAAACACCTCCTACCAGGTCTCTTCTCCAACATTGGGGATTACATTTCAATATAAGATTTGGGCAGGGACAAATATCTAATCCATATCAACTACAATTTGTGAATGTTTAATAGCACCAGACTTACCAGTTTTTAGAAAGTTTGCAAATAATTACTGGTACAATTATAGCAGGAATATGTTTTTTTCAGTGCCCAGCAACTTTTGAGCAACACTTTAATGGTTTGCTGTTTCTCACATTGTGAGTTCTTCATGCTCAAAGTAGAGCTCCTGTATTTTCCAGGTTTCCTTTCAAATGGGAAGCATCCATCAAGACTAATGCAAGAGTTGGAGGCAGAAGTAAGCACCATGAGGTAGGAACCCATGACTAGGAGTTTGAAGGCCAGGCAGGCTTGTTGGCAGATGCACCTGGAGTCTTCACAGGAAACTGTGGCAAGCCACAGGCAGCAGAGGCATTCTCAATTGCATTGTTCTTGTCTGTGTAACATCCTAGTCTGGTTCTCCCGTCCTCCTGGAGTTCCTATGAGTTGCCTGATATTTTCTACAAATCTCTTTATGCTTCAATTAGCCAGGGCGAGTTCCGTTTACATCAAATTGGTAGATGCTAAGGGAAATAATTGCAAGCAACAGATCCTTAAGGAAATGAGAATCTAGGACTGGTTACTGAGCCAGTTAAAAAATAAAATAAATAAATTTAGGAGTTCTCAAATTCCCAAGTAATCATCATCCAGGCCATGGAATAGAACATTACTAGTACCCAGAAGCATTTATCTCTGGGCTGTCTGTCTCTTCCTAAGAGGTACTCTCCTGACTTCTACCTGAAAAACCTACCAAAGATAGGTTTGCCTGTTAAACTTTATATAAAGGAACTCATATGTATGTATATTCTATTGTAGTTAGCTTCTTTTTCTTAATATCATGTTGACTGACGTATATGGCCATATTGTCAGTGTATTGTAGTCCTTTGTATGACCACATCACAGGTATTTTTCTAGTCATTATACCATCGATGGACATTTAGGTTGTTTTTACTCTTAACTGTTATGAATTATGCTGAAATGTACTCTTTTGCACATGTCTTTTGGTGCATATTTGTATTTTTTTCTTCTGGATATATGTATATGTAGAAGTGAAATTTCTAGAGCATAGAATATGTTTATATTTAGCATTAGGAGATAATATCAGAGTTTTCTGAAGTAATCATACCAATTTACAGTTTTATCATCAGTGTATCAAAATCCTAGTTGTGCTGTATTCTTGCTGACTCCTGCCAAGCCACAGTCTTTTGAACTTGGGTCTTTCTTTCAAAATTTTGGTCATTCTGATGTGTATGTAGTGACAGCTCGTCATAGTTTCAATTTGCATTTCTCTAATGACAAATAAGGTAGAGCATCCTTTTTTAATTGTACTTTAGTTTCTGGGGTACATATGCAGATCATGCAGGATTATTGCATAGATACACACATGGCAATGTGGTTTGCTGCCTCCATCCCCCTGTCACCCACATCTGGCATTTCTCCCCATGTTATCCCTCCCAGACCTCCCCACTCCCCCCGCTGTCCCTCCCTTACCCCCCACAACAGACCCCAGTGTGTGATGCTTGCCTCCCTGTGTCCATGTGTTCTCATTGTTCAACACCCGCCTATGAATGAGAACATGCGATACTTGATTTTCTGTTCTTGTGTCAGTTTGCTGAGAATGATGGTTTCCAGATTCATCCATGTCCCTACAAAGGACATGAACTCATCGTTTTTTATGGCTGCATAGTATTCCATGGTATACATATGCCACATTTTCCTTGCCCAGTCTATTGTTGATGGGCATTTGGGTTGGTTCCAGGCCTTTGCTATTGTAAACAGTGCCACTATGAACATATGCGTGTGTGTCTTTATAACAGAATGATTTATAATCCTTTGGGTATATACCCAGTAATGGGATTGCTGGGTCAAATGGAATTTATATTTCTAGGTCCTTGAGGAATCACCACACAGTCTTCCACAATGGTTGAACTAGTTTACACTCCCACCAACAGTGTAAAAGTGTTCCTATTTCTCCACATCTTCTCCAGCATCTGTTGTCTCCAGATTTTTTAATGATTGCCATTCTAACTGGCGTGAGGCGGTATCTCAATGGAGTTTTGATTTGCATTTTTCTAATAATCAGTGATGATGAGCATTTTTTCATGTTTGTTGGCCTCATATATGTCTTGTTTTGAAAAGTGTTCATATCCTTCTCCCACTTTTGGATGGGTTTGTTTGTTTGTTTGTTTCTTGTAAATCTGTTTTAGTTCTTTGTAGATTCTGGATATTAGCCCTTTGTCAGATGGGTAGATTGCAAAAATTTTTTCCCATTCTCGTGGTTGCCAGTTCGCTCTAATGATTGTTTCTTTTGCTGTACAGAAGCTCTGGAGTTTAATTAGGTCCCATTTGTCTATTTTGGCTTTTGTTGCCAGTGCTTTTGGTGTTTTAGTCCTAAAGTCCTTGCCCATGCCTATGTCCTGAATGGTTTTGCCTAGGTTTTCTTCTAGGGTTTTTATGGCGTTAAGTCTTATGTTTAAGTCTTTAATCCATCTGGAGTTAATTTTAGTGTAAGGTGTCAGGAAGGGGTCCAGTGGTAGAGCATCTTTTCATACAATGGTCTGATATTTGAAAATTCTCTTTTCTGAAGTGACCAAGTTTCTTGTTCATTTCACTCCTTGGTTATCTGTCTTTTTCTTACCAACTAGTAAGACACCAACTCTTTGTTGGTTATATTTGGTGCAAATATCTTCTTTCACTCTGAGGATTTCCTTTATGTTATCCTAATGGTGTCTTTGATGAATAGGGTTTCTTGATTTTAACATAATCTAATTTGTAGTTGAGTTTTAAGGAAGTGAGGACTGGATGGGACACTGATGATCCATGGCAAATGGGTGAAGTGGCCTTTAAATTTCAGCTGCAGCTGTTTGGAAAGAAGTGCAAAGTCTGAACAAAGTGAGTGGCTTTTGACAGCAAAAATTCTGAAGATAGTGAGGAATATAAGGGCTTTGGGGTAGAATGGCTCCTTCTAATCATGTCACATGGCTTACAATAAAGCAATGGTGAGCTCAAGATTTTAAATCTTTGGGTAAAATCTCTGTCAAAAAGTCAGGAGCATTTTACACTTTCCTAAGATAATATATTTTCTCTTGTATTCACAAGGCTGTTCTGACTATAAATCAAATATCTGATCATATAGATCTATGAATTATACTGCAGACTGAATTTAAAGAATTTATGTAAATGTATGAATTCACAACCAGAGAAAATTATGAAATGAATTGGGAAACAGACCCTGATAATTGGAATTAGGATGCTTGGGAAGATTTAAATGATTTACTGAATCCTCAAATCCCTAAATACCTAGATTCCAATGAGACTCTCATAGGGCAGCACCAGCTCCAAATATTATGTCTGATGAGGCCGATTTGCTTAAACGTCTGTAACAAACTCACCTACTTTGCGAAGGGAGGCAGGCCAGTTTCCCTCATGGCCCACTTCTACTTTCATTGTCATCAAATCTTTATCTAGAGTCAGATATCAGACACACCCAGGAGAAAGTTTATGCACTAAAATAATTGCAAATATTCTTTTCAAAATGAATTTTACCACACACAGCATGGCTCCCTCAACCTGAAGACTCGGCATGAAACCCTTTCATGGTTTCCTGTTGTGCTTAGAATAGACTTGAAGCCTTGGTGGCCCTGTGAAGTCTTGCACAGCCCAGCCTCTGCCTGTATCTGCAGCCTCAACTTGTACCACTCCTGTCCTTGGTCTTTTACCTTTAGTCACAATATCCTTTACATGTGTTCGTCCCTCTACTTCTGGATCTCCTTGAACCCCTCGTATCACCTAGAAGGGTACATTTCACTCTTTTTTCAAATGTCAGTGAACCATGCATGTTGCCTTCACTGCATTGATTTTTGTGTGCAATTATATTCTGGCATTTTTGGTGATTATTGATTAATGTTC